AGGAACAGGGGATTCGTCTTTCATTCACCAGAGCTTTCTTGTTCCTACTTGCTTACATGGACTTGTAGAGTCTCCCCAACTCTAGAGCAGTTCCTCTCCCAAAGACTCCGCTCTAGCTCAGAATTTAGTGCCAGATAATCAGATTTATAAATTTGCAAAAGGAAGTGATCTTTCCCCTTCTGCCCACCCATTTTGTTGCTGCATTTATATGTTCCAGTAGAGAGAATATAATGAGCTGCTTCACATGTGACAAAATGTTTAAGAGTGGCTAGCTGAATTAATCCTTCTCTGTTCAGATAACAAGACTGGCACATTCACTATCAGCCCATTTCCCTCCCCCTTTTTTGAGTTTGATAAGTAAGGACTCCAGGCAACCTCAACAACAATAACAGCGAGACAAGAGCTCTGTGTGGCTCAAAAGCTTGTTCTCTCACAAACAGAAGTGGTCCAATAAAAGATAGCATCGGGGGTAGCTGTGTTAGTCTGTATCCACAAAAACAACAAGGAGTCCGGTGGCACCTTAAAGACTAACAGATTTATTTGGACATAAGCTTTCATGAGTTAAAAAACCCACTTCTTCAGATGCATAAATAAAATAAATAAAAGATATTACCTCATCCACCTTGTGTCTCTAATACCCTGGGACCAACATAGCTACAACTACACTGCATGCAATAATAATAATAATAATAATAGCACTTAACAGGTTATTTTCCTCTTTAAATTATACTCAACACCAGGTGAGATAGGTGCTGGAACAAGAGGACTGGTTTCTGGATCACCTACAGAGCATTCAGCACTGTTTCTGGAACCGGGAAACCAGCATGGACTGGTGGGAGAGGATTGGTCTGCAAAGCTGGGAAGACCAGGTGAAGCAAGAGAACTTCAGAATGGGGAAGGCTACCTTTTTTGAGATCTGTGCAGAACTGACCCTGAAGCTTCAGTGACAGACTACCAATATGTGGTGTCCTGTACCCATAGAGAAACAGATTGCCATTGTCATCTGGAAGCTGGCAACCTTAGAATGTTACTGGTCTGTAGCCAACCAATTCTGGGCAGGGAGATCAACTGCTGGGACCATTCTGATGCAGGTCTGCTATGGCATTGATAAGGTGCTGTCTAACTGAGATATTGAGGCTGGGTAATGCTCAGGAGATTACTTATGTCTTTGCACACATGGCTTCCTAAACTCTTGTGGGGCAATTGATGGAACCCATGTGCCTATCATTCCCTAGCCCACAATGCTAGGATCCTTCAGAATTCAGTACTATTTAAATTAGAATCATAGAATATCAGGGTTGAAAGGGATCTCAGGAGGTCATCTAGTCCACTCCCCTGCTCAAAGCAGGGCCAATCGCCAGACAGATTTTTTGCCCCAGATCCCTAAATGGCCCCTCAAGAATTGAACTCACAACCCTGGGTTTAGCAGGCCAATGCTCAAACCACAGAGCTATTCCTCCCCCCTTAGTGGAGAAAGGACTGTTTGCCCAGAGTTGCAACGTGGACATTAATGGTGTGAAGGTGGGTCCAGTTATTCTGGGAGGCCCAATTTATTCCCCTGATGCCTTGGCTAATTTGAAGCCACATACAGGCTGCTTGGACAGAAGGAAGGAACATTTTAACTATTGCCTGAGTAGCTGCAGCATGGTAGTCGAGTGTGCACTTGGCCATTTGAAAAGCAGATGGCGCTGATAATGGAATAGGTTGGAAGTAGCAGGGGGGAAAATGTTCCACTGCATGTTGTGTTTTACACAATAATTATGAGAGTAAGGAGGAAAGCCTTGCCAATGGCTGAGGTGCAAAGACTTGCTCGGAGGTTTGAGAAGCCAGCAATGCATCCCACAGAGACAAAAACCAGTGGGAGAACACTTTAACCTGTCTGGTCATTCAATGACAGACCTGCGGGTGGCTATCTTACAACAGAAAAACTTCAAAAACAGACTCCAACGAGAGACTGCTGAGCTGGAATTGATATGCAAACTAGATACAATCAACTCAGGATTGAATAAGGACTGGGAATGGCTGAGCCATTACAAACATTGAATCTATCTCCCCTTGTAAGTATTCTCTCACTTCTTATCAAACTGTCTGTACTGGGCTATCTTGATTATCACTTCAAAAGTTTTTTTCCTCTTACTTAATTGGCCTCTCAGAGTTGGTAAGACAACTCCCACCTGTTTATGCTCTCTGTATGTGTGTATATATATCTCCTCAATATTTATTCCACTCTATATGCATCCGAAGAAGTGGGCTGTAGTCCACGAAAGCTTATGCTCTAATAAATTTGTTAGTCTCTAAGGTGCCACAAGTACTCCTGTTCTTTTTGCAAACACCAGGGGGAACTCTGTCAGGGATGCCTACTGTTCATATTTTGAGTCTCCTGCATAAACCTGTCAGCCAATAGTGGGTGTGTTAGGATGCAGACATTGGGTGCACTGTGGTATTGTGTTTAAACTTCCCTGTGTGCTTTTGTAAAACCCTCTGAATTATTTCAGCTTTATTTAAAGGATTTTCTGTGTTAAGTGCAAAGACGACTCATAGTGGATGTACTGTAAATAGTTTTATTATGAAAGAACAATACAAAATAACATTTTAATGACACCAGTGGAAGAATATATCTTTGTATTTGGAAATGTATTTAATCAATTGTCTTCAGTCACCAACTATATGCAAACCTTTAATTTCTGCAACAGTGCAAACAAAACTCAGAGTACAACAGTGAGAACATTTCAAAAACAATTGATGGGATAGGGCATCTCTAAAGTTAACAGTGAGTAAACACCTTGCCTCTGGCACTTCTCGTCTGCATGCGTTCTGGGGTTGAGTGCCGTGGCTCAAAAGAGTTGGACTCCCAGGTGCTGGTGTTGTCGGTGCCCAGAGGTTGGATCTGAGAGGTGAATGGGAGCCTCTGAGAGCACTGTTGTAGGGGTACAGAGGTTACAAGTGCTGCTGGTCCCAGTAGCTAGCATTGTCTGGAGGCTGAAGAGCATGACAGGGTCCCAAATTACAGGTCTGCAGAGCCACTGGCCTAGCAGCAGCATATTTGCAGGAGAGTGTTTTGCAGGAGGGTATTTTGGCTTATGAGTTACCTCTGCATCTCTCTGCCTTTTTCCATGTTCTCTTTCGCCATAGTGATGCTGTCCTTAGCCACAGCCACGCTTTCCCCGGTCACTGCAACTCCGTCTTTGGCCACTGCCAGGATCTCCTGGGGGAGGTGCATTTCTTTCTCCTGGGTCCTCATGTACAGCCTTCAAACTCTGAGCCAGCCTGGTTTGCTTCTGACTCTGCCATGAGTTCTGCCAACACTTCATCCAGTCTTCCTTTTTCTCTCCTTCAGGTTGGCCAGTCTGTCAGCAATAGATAGAGGTTCTGTCCTTGACGGCTTGGCTGTTGCAGGTGCTGTGGCTACGGCAGTAGGGGGGGAAATAGTTTATGGTTCATATCCCAAACAAGTCATGATAGCTTTTTTTGGTATGTATATGTGACTTTACCTTTGAGACTCTTCCCATTCTTTGGAGAACCCAGAGATAAGTGGTCTATGTGTACAGAGGGTGCTGGGTGCATTGGGATTTTAGTCTATTGTACCTGTTTTCCTGCTGTTAGGGGTGGGGTGATTGGACCTATGTTCCAAGTTTGGTTTTGCAGCTTTATTTATGCACAGGAGGTGCTACTATGGCCTCAGAGGCATAAAGGGGGGAGATTATGGGGAGCAAGCTGGACAGTAATCCTCTCTACATCTCCTTTAAGCTGTTCTGACACTCGATGTTACGCTGAGGCATGTAACTAGGAGACAGAAGATGGTCTTATTTAAAAGGCAGACCACCAAGATATGCTGTGAAGTTATTCACCAGGATTGTCGCCCAGAAGTGCTGCAGGAGTGGGAGTGGCTTGCAAGCTATACTGGGGACATGGCGGGGAGGGGCTATTCCCTATAACGTGCAAAACAAAACCAAGCTGTTTCTCAGTGTTAAAAGTTTTGCTATATCTCCCCTGCAGACACAGAGAAAGTGCAGAGGAAAATAGATAGGGCCCTATAATGACTGTCAACTATAGTGTGTGTTACAGGGCATTTGTACCCATGGGAAGCAGCATTGTCTGTGCCTTGACCAGCTGTGCAATGTGCACTGAGACCTCATGTAAACTATGAAAATTAACCACATTTCTTTCCCTGTAAGCTCTGCCTCCATAAACTGTTGAATTTTGCACAAATGAATGCTTTGTTATTGAAATCTGCCACAGGGCGGAGCAGGAGGAGGGGCCACAGATTGTGCCTGTGCCATGCTGCGGGAAGCCATTTTGAAGCAGCAAAAAGGGGGAAGGGAGGTGGGACTCCTAGTTCACATCTGCCAATAATAATAATAATAGGTACTTACATGCCCAAGTTCACTCCATGGGATCTGATTCTTCAGTCCCCGCCTGGGTTTCTGGCTGGAATTCGGGATCAGTTGATGCAGGACAGGAATCAGAGTCTGTTGTAACAGGGCAGGACTGGGGCTGCCTCTCCACTTGGCCATCAACAGGTTCCTGAGTCCCAAAAAGATCCTGGCTCTCAGAAGGTAGCTCCTTTCCCACTGAGAAACTCACCCCAGTATAGCCAATAGCCCAGTTGTTTGGGCTCTCCTCCAGATAGGGGAAACCTGGACTCAAGTCTCTGTTCCAATTAAGGCAGAGTGGGCATCTGCAAATAGGTGAGTGCTCTAGTCCTGGGTTATTGGCTATAACTGGGGGTGGGAGGTGGGTGTGTGTGTGTGGGTGGGGGTGTCTTTCTGTCTTCTTGAGGAAGAGCTGACCTGGTTTAGGTGCCTAACTCCTAGAGAGGGTTCACAGCTGTGATTACCCAAGACGATATGGGTGCCCAACTACCTTGGTGGGATAGGGCTTAGGGCAGGCCATATCCTTCTCTCCTCAGCATCTCCTACTGGCTAGCTTTGGCAGCTCCCCACTCAGCCTGCTGGTTGGCTTCTGAGAGTCCCTTATGTCTTGTTATAGTTTTCCTGCAGTCCCATGTGGTCTAGTGGTTAGGATTCCTGGTTTTCACCTATGTGGCCTGGGTTCAATTCCCAGTGTGGGAATAGTGCAGTGCTTTCAACAAACTAAGGATAGCTCAGTGGTTTAAGCATTGGCCTGCTAAACCCAGGGTTATGAGTTCAAGCCTTGAGAGGGCCACTTAGGGATCTGGGGCAAAATCAATAGGGGGAAGGGATAGCTCAGTGGTTTGAGCATTGGCCTGCTAAACCCAGGGTTGTGAGCTCAATCCTTGAGGGAGCCACTTAGAGATCTGGGGCAAAATCAGTACTTGGTCCTGCTAGTGAAGGCAGGCGGCTGGACTTGATGACCTTTTAAGGTCCCTTCCAGTTCTAGGAGATAGGATATCTCCATTAATTTAGTTTTCCTCATAGATTCCAAAGCCAGAAGGAACTATTGTGATCATCTAGTTTGACCTCCAATATAACTCAGGCCATAGAACTTCTCCAAAATAATTCCTAGAGTAGATCTTTGAGAAAAACATCCAACCTTGATTTAAAACTTGTTAGTGATGGAGAATCCACCACAATCTATAGTAAATTGTTCCAATGGTTAATGATCCTCACTGTTAAAAATTTACACTTTATTTCTTGTCTGAATTTGTGTAGCTTCAACTTCCAACCATTGGATTGTGTTACACCTTTCTCTGCTAGATTGAAGAGCCCATTATTCAATATTTGTTCCCCATGTAGATACTTATAGACTGTAATCAAATCACCCCACTTTGATGTTCTCTTTGTTAAATTAACTAGATTAAGTTCTTTGAATCTATCACTATGAGGCATGTTTTCTAATCCTTTCATTAGTCTCGTGGCTCTTCTCGGAACCCTCTCCAATTTATCAACATCCTTCTTGAATTGTGAGCATCAGAACTGGAGACAGTATTCCAACAGCAACCACACCAGTGCAAAATACAGAGGTAAAGTAACTTTTCTGCTCCTATTCGAGATTCCCTGTTTATACATCCCAGGATCACATTAGCTCTTTTGGCCACATCATCAAAATGGGGTCTAATATTCAGCTGATTATCCACCACAACCCCCAAGTCTTTTTCAAAGTCACTGCTTCCAAGGATAGAGGGTTAGGCACCCTATGCATTGTACAGGAACCTGAAAGTTACATGTTGCAACACTGAGCATTGTACATCTAAATCCTGGTGTGGATCTAGACCTAAAAGACCTGCAACACCTATCTCACTTCTTCAAGCCCTCGCATTCTGATTAGAAAGGGGGGGGGGGGGGACAGAACTCACTCCCTGAAATAAAATTGTGTGCAACAATTACAGCTTCCATACTGTACAGCAAAATTATGCTATAGGGGTTCACAGAGGAGGGTACTAATCATTCTGGAGGGCCTGATGGTAACCTCAGGCCAATACTCAAATGTCTAACAGTTTTCGTACTGGCTGTTTTTACAAAATGTCTACCATCTTCAGATTAAGTCAAGAAAGTCAATTCATTTAAGACACTACTAAATGTCACAGATCTGATGATACATTATACGTTTTCCAGACATGAACAATTTCACTGTTTGTGCACAAGCCTCCCCTGCTGGTCAAACATAAAACAGCATCGGAGAATCATTTGCCAACTTTCTACAGAAAGAAAAAAGCTATTGCAGAGCAGCTAAATGTAGAAGAGGTAAGGGAGGAATTAAATTAATCATATTTTTCAGTGGAGATAGCCTTAAGTAAAATATCCAACTCATGAGCAGTCCTTTTAGAAGAATTGTGTCTACTGCAAAATATACAGGTTGTGCACAAACAGTGAGTTCACAGAATATTTTAAATCAATTGTACATTTAAAAAGAATTAGATGGGATATGTAAGGTGATTCCTGGGTCAGCATTACTGATTTAGTGACATTGGAGTAAGGTATGCAGCAAAACTGATAATTAAGTTAAAATTAAATCACAACAATCCTCACATATTTAAAATTTTCTGTTAAGCCAAAAATGAGGGCAATTGTTTGGTCACTCCCTAGTCCACATAAATAAGACATTATTTTCTAACACTGCTAATCAAACCCCTTTCTCCAGAATTTATTCACTAGGTATATGTATATTTAAAAGGAACATTGAACCTGAAAGATTGGTCAGTAATGACCTGGTGCAGACAGCAACAACAACAAAAATCACATACCAGATTCCCTGATGCATCCAGCTTACATGGGTCACTCTCAGGGGTCTAGTTATAGTTCCCTGACTCTCTGCTTGGTCCCATGTGCAGGTTAGAGCAGCTCCCATACCGCGAAGGGATCATCTGCCAGCTAGGGATAACCAGAGTATACCACACGCTGGCCATGCACATCCTCTACACTGTAGGCTGCAATGAGGATGGTGTAGGAACCATCTGTGTCGGCTGGGGATGACAACCTCTTCCCTGGCCCTCCCAAGCCCCCATATAAAGGGACCAAAGCGGGAGTTAGAATCTGACCCCCATATCTCACATGTTAGTCAAAGATCATACCATTCCATTGACCAGAACTCCATCCATTCATGTTCACCTCTCGCAAAGAGGTCAATTTGTAAAAGTGAACAGCAACAACAGCTTTTATTAAAGCTGCATGCATGGCAATAAAATGAAAGTTTTGTCAGTCTAAATAGCATGTTGCACTCAAAAACATGCCCTTTATTGCATGGATACATGCATATACCACAGGCCCCTTTCATAACTTGGATAAATAAGTTCCATTCAGTTTATTCTGGTTATCATGGCCTTCAAAAAAATTGAAAGAAGTCTCAACCCACAACCCAGAAATCTGCCAATTCAAAAGATGATACCAAAGGAAACAACATGTGTATGTCTGAGTTTTTTAATGCTGAGAGGTGCTTATCTTTCAAAAATGTCAGCATGCTCATCTGATCAATGTATACAGTTTTTTTAAAGTTCATATTACATGACATGTGAGAATAGGATTACCCCAGCCCCAAAATGTCAAACAATTTTGACTGGAATCAAAATCCTCCAGGGAACATCCCAAAACTTCATACCGTTACTGCGTACTAACGTTTGTACTGGAAATGGAGGTTACTTACCTGTAACTGATAGCTCTTCAAGATGTGTGGTCCCTATCTGTAATCCACACATGGGGACACATGCGCACCATGTGCCCAAGTCCAGAAATTCTAACAAGCAGTGTCCATTGAGCTGCACATGTACAGTAGCATTCCTTGTGCTCCCAACCAAGGGCAAACAAGGCAGTGTGGGCCAGTGACTCTCCAGTTCCTCTTCTTACTATGAATGCAACAAAATTCAAAGCCTAGGGGACAGAGAGCAGGTAGTGGAATACAGATAGGGACAATACATCTGCAAGAGCTTCCAGTTACAGGTAAGTAACCTCTAGTTCTTCAAGTGCTGGTCGCTATGTGTATTTCACACATGGGTGATTTACAAGCAGTGCTCAGGCTGGAGAGGGGTACAAGGAAGCCAGCAGCAAAGATGATTGCAGTATTGCAGTTCCCACTGCTGCATCTGTAGCAGAAGCCTGAACTAGCAAACGTGTGGATGGAGCTCCAGGTGGCCACTCTGCATTTGTCTAGTATTGCAGCGTCCTGCAGGGATGCTTGTGCCCTAGTGGAATGTGCCTTCAGGAGGAGGTGCGTGTTCTAACCTGTAGCACTCGCTGATGCACCCAGAAACCCACATAGAGATACTCAGAGGATCTTGCTTGACCTCACAATCTTTCTACTATGGCAAGAAAAAGTGTGAGATTTTCTGATAGGTTTGGTCCTTTGCAGAACACCAGGGCAGGTCTGATGTCAAGGGAATGAAGTCTTCTCTTCAGCAGAAGCATGGGGTTTCAGAAAAAGGACACGTAAGTGGATACTTTGGTTGACATGGAATTCATAAATAACCGTGGGGAGGAACTTAGGATGGAGGCAAAAGGATAAAGGGGTCTGCCATGAAGGCTCCCGAACTCACTCACCCTCCTGGCTAAAGTAATAGCAATTAAAAATGCAACTTTCATAGACAGGTGAGACATGTAGCATGTCACCAAAGGTTCAAACAGTGGTCTGGTGAGTATTGACAGGATGCAATTGAGGTCCCATTGAGGTGTAGGTTTGACCCCGGGTGGAAAGGTCCTGACTAGGCCCCTCATGAATCTTGTTGTAGTTGGGTGGGTGAAAACAGAACATCATTCTACTGGAGGAAGGAAGGCACTAATTCCTCTGAGATGGACTCACAGTGAGCTAATGGAAAGGCCCAAATTTCTTTTAGAGACAGGAGATAATCTAAAATGACCAGAATATTTACAGTGCCTGGAGAAGGTTGATGATGATGCCTCCAGGTAGAGAAACACCTCCATTTAGCTAGGTAGCAGGTCCTAATTGGCTCTTTCCTACTTTGGGTAAGGATATAATGGACAGGTGTTGAATAGGAGCATTCTATTTTCCAATACCCATCCAAACACCAGGCCATGAGATGGAGCAAGTCTGGACTGGGGTGTCTGATTCTTCCCCACCCCTACCCCCCCATGCCGTTATGGGGTCCAGGAAGAAGTAGATCCTGATTGGGGGAGGGCTGACATTTTCAGGAACTCTGGGAACCAAACTGGGTGCTAGAAGAATGACTCTGGCCCTGTCATGACAGATCTTTCTCAGGACCTGTGGTAGTAGGGGAATGGGAGGAAAGTAATATCTGAGATCATTTGTCCATGACATCAGGACAGTATCACCCTGGATGCCATAGCCCATAGCTCTTTTGGAGCAGTCAGGGAAATTTTCCTGTTTGGGACATAAAGCGATCCCATTGAGGTGAACCCCACTGAGCAAATATTTTGCTCAGGACAGAGTTGTGAATCTCCCACTCGTGGGCTGCAAAGAAGCACCTGCTCAGGTTGGCAACTGAAGTGTTCTGAGCACCTGGGAGGTATGCAGCTTGATTAGTGATGCTGTTTCTGATGCACCACTTCCAAAGCCTGACTGCTTCCAGGCAAAGGGGAAGAGATCTGGCTGCACCCAGTTTGTTTATGTAAATGACTGTGGTGATACTGTCTGACACAACTTGCAACCCTGTCTGCAACCCTGGCAAACTGCTCTCAGTTCTAATATACTGCTGTGCAGTCTGGCCTTCCGTGTAGTCCAGGTACCTTGTTCGGAGGAACACCCCAACCCAGAAGGGAAGCATCTGTTAGGATGGTGGCATTAGGGGTGGGAGTGTTGAAGGCAAAACTCACTCTCACTTTCTCTGGGTTCAGCCACCGGATGAGGGAGACGATGACTCTGCTGGGAATAGTCACTCTAGAATTGATGGGATCTTTGGTGAGTAGCCAGCCAGAACCAGGCCTGTAGACATCATAGATGAAGCATGATGTATGGCATCACATAAGTGCACAAGGTCATATGGCCTAAAAGCAAGAGGCACAATCTGACTGTAGTTCTTGGTCTACGAGTAATCTGTGCTATCAGGCTGCTCATTAACTGAAATCTTTCTGTGGGAAGAAAAATTCTCACAGAAACAGTCCAGTGTCGTTCTGACGAAGTTTATCATCCGTGTGGATGATAAAATTGACTTTTCTTTGTTTATTCAGAAATCCAGGGCTGCTAGAAAATGGAGCAGAAACTCCGTCACCAACTTGACCTCTCAGCAGGAGCAACTTACCAGGAGCCAATCGTTCAGATATGAGACAACTGTGTAACATTAACATTTCATTTGGGCTGCCACCACAGAGAAAACTTTTGTAAACACTCTGGATGCTATTGCTAGCCAAAGAGAAGAACTCTTAACTGGAATTGTTCTTGGCCCACCATAAATTGCAGGAACTTTCTGTGAGTGGGATGAATTTCTACATGAAAGTAAAAAGCAACAGAGGGTCCTGTGGCACCTTTAAGACTAACAGAAGTATTGGGAGCATAAGCTTTCGTGGGTAAGAACCTCACTTCTTCAGATGCAAACTGAAGAACATGAAAGTATGCATCCTTCATATCGAGAGCCACAAATCAGATTGGATAATCAATGCTAATGTAACCATCCTGAATTTCAACTTTCAAATAAAGATGTTTAGTTGCAGAAGGTTCAGAATGGGTGTCCACCCTCTGTCTTTTCTGGGGACTAGGAAATATGGGAAATAGAACCCTCTCCCTTAATACTGAGGAGAGACATGCTCTAGCACCCCACATTGTAGGAGGGAGTCTGCCTCTTAATGAAGAATCACCTCATGAGAGTAGCCCCTGAACAGGGACTGGGAAGGGGACTTAGGAGGGGGGAGGGAGAGGAACTCAATAGAGTATGCTTGATGGATCTTTTCCAAGTTCCAGCTGACTATAATGATTCAAGTGCCAATTAAGGGTGAAGAGTGGGAAACGGACCTCCGAAATAATGGGGAAAGAGGTAAGTGGCATCCGTGTTGGTAGACAGGTCTCAAGCAAGACGTCAATAGTAGCCCTTTGCAGGTGGTTGGGAACTGGTAGAGGTCATCTTTGTAAAGGGGGCCAAGAAGTGAGGCCTCTGAACCCTCTGATGTTTCCACAGAGGTTCGGTGGGACACTGGTGGTAGAACACTTGAGGAGGGGGTGACCGTGGCCTATAGGCTCGTCTCTGGTGTTTTTTCCTTGGGACCAGAATGTAAATGCCCAGGGAGTGTTGAGTCAATCTTGAGTCCTTCTATGAGTGTATGGACTCATCCGTTCTCTGACTGAAGAGATTCGACTCATCAAAGGGAAGGTCCTGCATGGTATTTCTGTGCCTCCATGGGGAAATCTAAAGACTGTAGCCAAGAAACCCTCCTCTGACTATACCAGTGGCCATATGCCCTATTTGCTGCATCCACTGCAGTCTGAAGGGATGATCTTGCCATTAATTTACCATCCTCTATGAAAAACTGAAATTGGGCTCTGGCCTCGGGAGAAGCTTGTCTTCAAAGTCCGTCAGTCTGGAATAGTTGTTAAAATAGTGTCTCTCAGCTCTTCTATGGGTGGGGGTGCGGGATGCTGCAGTATGCCAAACCCATATGGCTAGTATCCATGATGGCCTCGTTAACTGGAAGTGCTACCTTACTTTGGCCTGCAAGTTGCAAAATATCCAGGAGCTGGTATTGTGCATCCTGGACCTCCTCCAGTGGTATCTGGAAGTCATGGGCAATCTTCTGCAGTAGCTCCTGGTACTGCCTATGATTATCCAGTGGCGATGGAGAGGAAGGAGTGACTGCTTCATCCAGAGATGAGGATAAGATTCCCATCAGTACCTGAGGATCCAGGTCAATAGCCTCCTCCTCCAACAGCTCCGGTGGGTTCAGAAAAGGAGACGTGTGGTAAAATTCCTGGATCGGTCATGAGCATCTGCCATAGGGATCCCTGGGCCCCAATAAGGCCAGAAAGGGGCTCCAATGGTCAGAACTGATAGTTCTGCAGTCCTTGGACAAGTGAGCTGGTACCAACAACAGGTGGTACCAAGTCCAGAACCACACTCCTAAACAGTGGTTTTCAACCTTTTTCATTTGTAGATCACTAAAAAATTGCAAATGGAGGTATGGACCCTTTTGGAAATCTTTGAAATAGTCTGCAGACTCCCAGGGGAATGCAGACCACAGGTTGAAAACCACTGTCCTAGACTGAACCAGCTAGGATGACAGTCCTTGTGTTTTGTAGCTGGGGTCACCAAGAGATCTTTCTTCTGTCACAATTTCACAAACCCTCCAGCCTGGGGGTTTTCAGAGAAGGATCAAGGGTAGGAGATACAATTCTTGAAGCCCAGAATTCTGAGTGTAGTCCCAGACAATGGGAAAGGAGTCCCTAGTACTGGGGAGGACAAGCTATCCTAACTATACTAATATAAAAGCTACGAAGTATAAAGACTATTTACATATCTATTTACAGGTTCTATCAAGAGAAAAAAGCTGGAGAAATCTGTGAACACAAGGTTTCTGACTCAGGCCATCCAGCAGTAAGAAGGAACTAGAGTGGCATGGGCCCACGCTGTCTCTTATGCGCTCAGTCAGGAGCACCAGGAGCTATTATGCATGTGTGCACCAACAGACACTGATAGAATTTCTGGACACTGGTGCATGGTTCGCATGCATACCCATGTGTGGAATACACATAGGGACCAGCAATCAAAGAAGAATCTTTATGTAAGCATATACCTGTGTAGATAGGCCTGTATTCAGCTATTTGCCTAGCAGCTCACCTAAGGATGCTGCTGCATATCACTTGTTCCACTAGCCTCCATTTTTTCTGGTATCAGAGTAGGAAGATCTTGGTTAAGGTTGTTTTGCCTCCTTTTTGGTCAATCTCAGGGAGAAAAAAACAACGGACACTTTTAAAACACAAACTGTCCTTGTCTACATGAGGTTTTAGTCACATTTAATATCATCCAAGTTCAAATGTGTTAATCAACACTGACAGGTTGGACCCCCTCATCCGGGATGCCACCTGATGTACAGGGATTTCACTGAGCCACTCCTGCTCCACCAGCCTGGATTTTCTCTCTGTTTTGCTGAATTAGGCTCTCCAGCCTCTTGCCACACACACACACACACACACACACAGGGCCACAACCAGCTGCAGACACAGACTGAAATCAGCTCTGTGTGAGAGGACTCACCCAGCATTCACCCTAAATAATACTGTCTTGCGCTGTATAGAAAGACCTGCACAGCGCAAGCTCATAAAAATTCACCCTCTCCCTCAATGTGGAGAAAGGTATGCACAGCTTCTTGCCCTGCCAGATATGAATTGCACAAACTGGGTTATGTTATAAACAAGAAATAAGTTTATTAAACTACAAAAGGTAAACTTTAAGTGATTATAAGGGATAGCAAACAGATCAAAGCAGATTACCTTAGTAAATAAACAAAAAACGTAAACTGAGCTTAACACACTAGATAGGTAAGATATAAATTAGCAAATTCTCACCCTGAGTAATAAACAAGCTGGCAGATTCTTAAGGCACAAGTTGCCTTGGCTTTTCCAGGTTTCCATATACACAGGCTAAAAATCCTTCTAGCCTGGGACCATCACTTCTCACAGTTCAGTCTTTGTTCCTCAGGTGTTTCCAGATGTGTTGTTGTAGGGAGAGTGAGGTTCCCCCCATAATGTCATTTTCCCCCTTTTATATCTTCTCCCCACTTGCTGGAAAGCTCTTTTGCTGTGACCTGGGTCAAACAGTTCTCATTGTGTAATGTTATCTCTGAGAGGTTTCTATTGTACACAGTTCCTGGGGTAATCCTTATGCTTGGGTGCATTTCCTTGATAAGCCATTAACATTGTGTGGCCTTTTTACTATTGTATCTGAAAGGCTGCTTGTGGGTGTTTTCAACCTCAGGAAATGTTTCAGCAACACATACATATCCAAACTTCATAACTTCACACATGACGAAAGCACATACAATCCAACGAGATATTACTGTCTAGCAGAGCAAGACTTTTAGAACACCTCACAAGGCATACTTTGTATAAGACGTATCCTAATTACAAGACAGTGGTGAATATTGGGGTGTCAGGGTGTAACAAACACATTTTCTAACTTGATGGATTTTCAGAACAACTCACATACAAGAATGTTACACTACTTTGTATTTTGTCATCCAAGTTCTTTAACTGATTCCTTCATTTATACATTAAAAATGCACTATGAATAAATTTTACCCGGAGTTGGTTTCTTATTCTGCTCATGTTAGCCATTCGTCATGTGTACTCATTGCAACCGTCTTTGCTGTCAACAGAACTGCAAAGCCATTTTAAGTCACCCCAAAGGAAAGCTCTAACTATTCTAAGCTTTCTATTTCAGATGGATGTCCTGTATTAATAGAACATTTGTCCCTTTAGATAAAAACTATTGTGTCAAGTAACTGCCTTCTTTGGTGCTCTGGTAATTAGTAATTACTGCAAGCCACATACATTTTGCTCACAGAGAAGCATATTGACAATTTTTAAAAAATTGACTTATCACCATAGCAACAGAAACCCAGGATTAATAGCTCATCTTTCGTGATCAAAATTCAACAAAACATCTTACATTTTATAAACATCTGTTGATTTCAGAGAAACAGAAAACAGATTTAAGCAAAGATCTCTTACTACCCATAAAGAAAAAAAACTGTGGGCTGTATGGGCATAAATGCAGCATGAAAATTGCCATGGAATCTCGTAATACAGGAAGAAAGTTTAAATTTTTGACTCAAATCTTCATTCTTGAGAGAGGCAGCGCAATAGGAAATAAAAAACTTTTTCACAGACAGTAATGCACCTAACTGAGGAGGCAATTACATATTCAGATTTTCAAAAGACAAGAATGTAAACTACTTTAAACTTTTTTTAAAATTCTCCCAAGTTCACTTGAACGCCTTACACATTTTAAATATAGTTTGTCAATATATACCTCTAAAATACCCTTCTTTGGTAAGAGTTAAAAACACCTGGCCCTTTGTCCTCACCCAATTGGCTGGAGAAAAAAGTAAACACACTTTAGTTCCTCTGTTTTACAACATATGTGACAAATGCCACAAAACTGCAACATTTTAATGCATCTTGCACATCTTCATCCTGCACATAATATTTGAGTAAGGTAATGCTGGTCCTGGTGATGTGCAACTTGTGCAATGGCAGCCCAGGACCAGTCACGTGGATAGTGGACCCTGAAGCCTCACCCTATTCCAGGGTCAACAGCAGCACCGGTAGAATAGAGCAGAAAGTGCATACGTGCATCTGGGCTCTAAGAGTAGCTCTATCTGAGGCCAAAGGTAGTACAGCCTACACATCTCTTGTCCAGCCCTCTCCGTGCCTCCTGAGGCAAAGAATAAACAGGTATTTTATGCATTTTGGAATACATATTTTCCTAAAACACAGCACAGCACCTGATATGATGAAAATATTTGAGATCTTTAACTTTAATATACAGGCAAACTGGCTGCACTCTCACATACTTTTGCAGTACTATTAAATATATTTAATATGATTTTGGAACTCTCAAAATAATTATCTGAATATCTTTTTGATTAGTGATTCATGTGGATGAAGTAGAGTCTTATCTACAGTATCATGCACGACACATTACATGGAAATGAGTAAATA